TCATGCCGATTCTGGCGAACAACTCCTTCGACTGCTTGGTATTTTGAAAGTGCTTCTTCTACAGTAGCGGCAGTCATCACTATATTATCCACGCATAAGTTGCTAGCAATTTCTCTAGCCAAGGACGAAGTTTGGTCAAAAGATAGGAGGCAAGTGCCATATTCAATATGGTAGGGGAAGCCGTTACTCCAAATGGTAATCTTCGGGAGCGGTACTGCACTATTAGGTTGTCCCAAAAGTCCGTGACCATTTCAAACTTTTTCTTCAAATAAGTTTATTCTGGCGGGAACCAGTTTTGATTAATGATATATTTGTTGCCTTCATCGGCAACTTGTTGCCAAATACCAGGCGATGAATGGTTGCCTTGCTTCCATAATCTGTTGGTTCCGTTCCGGGAAAGGCAGCTGGGTCACTTTTAGTACTTTCAGAAATCGTATTCTTTCACCCAGAAGATGGCCGCTGTGGGATTTAGATGGTGGTCGGAAAGAGCTAAGTCAGGGCTACACGAAGACTGTGGTGGAATTCCGCAGCTAAGTTTCAAGGTCCTGCAATGTCATTTTCCGAATGTATGACCTTGAGTTGTTGTGGTAGGGAAACATTGCTCGGTTGGGCCAAATGTTGAGGATTTTCATCCCCCCTTCGCGGTTGATCACAACAGGTACCACAAGAATACTGTGTTATAGGCAGAAGTCAGACCACGGACGGGATTCGAACCCGCATAACTCGGCATTCCTGTAGTAACTTTAGGCGCACTGCTGCGTTAAACAACACTTATCAAACGATCACAATAGGGTCTGCTGGTTACCACAGCGCTGAGAAGAAGAAATTCCTTCAAGGAAGAGAGAAAGAAACCCCACCACATACACAGTCTCACCGCCCTACTGGATTGATAGGATTGCGCGACCGGTTCTGCCCTTTCTGGGGATCTAGCCACTGGCGCTTCCGGGAGTGATTCACCTAGAGACACCTACTCCATATCCAGTTACAACGCTGTTCAACCAGATAGAAACTAGAACTAGAAAAATTTTGACCGAATTGCAACGTTTTTTACGGAAGCGAGGCCCTCTATCATTTGTGCTTTTGAAACAGTCAAGTGTTTGAACTAGATAGCGACTTGATTCGGACGAGGTGGTTTGGATCAAGGAGCGCAGTAGATCTAAGTCCAAGGCAAGTGGCCTCCCTGGACGAGTTGTTCCTCTCAGGTAGAAGTCACCTGAGCGAAACGATCAGGTCATTTCAAGGCTACCGTGGAAGGTACCACCAGGACCTAACTCAGAGAAATGCCGCTTGTGTCACCAACCACGTTGTGGCTCGGCGGAGATTCATATAGCGAAACGTGTCGAAAATGATGAATCGGCTACCGCTTTCGATATGAGAACAGCGATCGCGAGGGACGATGAAGAAGCTGTGGGGATGCTTACTTAACAAATTCTTATAGACTACATAACTGGATCTACAAATGGCTACGGATAGATCTGATACGAGACTCTGAACATGGTCACGAACTTTTGAGACTAACTTGATATATTGTCCCTGGTGGGAGGTATGTGAAATTTTTGATCCACAGAAACCTGCGCGACCATTGTGCGAGTCGATCAACCGAATCTGCGAGAAATCAGCTTCGATGCCGCACGCTACGTGTATACTCTGTTTGCGCGATGAAATTAGTATACCATGTATGTTGTTTATAAGTGATTGGATTACGTCATTAAGTGCCAGTTTATTCTTCCGTTTTGAGGACGCATTGAGTACCACTTTGAGCGGTACCTTTTTCTGAGGCCTATAGCGGAGTAAGGAATATAATAGCATGTCCGCACGGCATCCTCTTCCTAGCATTTTTCTATTATTTGAGTACCACTGACGCTGTTCCGGGAACTTGCATGCTTTTTGGAGGAATTCGAGGCGTCGCATTGCGACGCTGTAGTTGTCTCCGAGAAGAGTGACATTAGGGAAATGGCGCTGCTATGTACCCGCTGGCGAAAGCGATTCTCTTGGGATATGTTCCAGGTATTTGTGAATTTTGTCATTGCTGTGGCACTCTTATTCTGATATCCCTAGTCCCTCTGAAACATTTTGCTCAGCATTTTTTGTTCGCTATGTTCGTGGAGGGCAGTTATTGCATGGTGGAGATTTGCTCTGCTAGAGATTTGCTCTGTGATGATCAAACCTTTACTGTAACTAGTTGGAGTGGTACCAAATATAGTGCGTGCGATATGTAGAACTGCGGGTCGCCACTGTATAGTTCTGGCCAGATACCAACTCGTGAAAATAGTCTAGGCCTATTAAAGGTAGTCACCCCGGAGACTGCATAACTGGATCTACAAATGGCTACGGATAGATGTACGAAGACTCTGAGCATGGTCACGAACTTTTGAGACTAACTTGATATATTGTCCCTGGTGGGAGGTATGTGAAAATTTCTGCACCCAACGTGCCTTGAATTTGCTGACCAGTATTGCTTTTTTAAGAAAACCAACATCTGTGTTGGCGGGTCAAACACTGGGGAAGCCGTCGCTCAGTACCGGCTTTGTTCGGATTTTTAGTTGCAGTGCCTCCCCAAACCCGAAACTTATTTTGACCGTCGCTATATGACTTTCGAAGTTTTGAATGTGGCTCCCAATGCCGGACATGGTGCAGATTTCAGTAGTACTATTGGGAAGGCCGAACTGACCTCCCTTTTCTTCTATTCGGTCATCCCATTCAGAAATGCTGACGTGCTAA